CCCCCTCTCCAGTCTGTGCTTCTTCTTGGAGAAAGCCTGACTAGCATGGAGACTGGCAGGGTGCAGACGGAGCTGTGGAGGAAGGGGCCTGCCTCACAGCCAGCTCTCCTTACCTGGTGGCGCCTGGAGGAAGGCACAGCTATACAGTTTCTCTGTAGATTTTTTCCATCATAATTTCCCTAGGACCAGAAGCTAATGGTGTAGAGAGTTGCTAAGGATTTTGGCTGATCTGAAAACAAAAAAGCCAATAAATAAACAAATAAATAAATCTTTAATTAAAAGAAAAATCTTTACAAATCTAAGAGCAATGACATCTGGTTTGGGGCAGGGAAATATCCCAGGTGGGAAGGAATTCCTCCTCTATTTGCTTAGAGAAGGGTGAGAGTGTGCACAGTTTAAACGAATAAAGATAAATGTCATACCTTAAAAAAGAAATTTTAATAGCCAGAAAAGGCATTCTGTGGTAAAGTGAGCCAGGGATAACCGGATTTGCGAGTTTCCGAGGAAGGGGCACCAGGAGATGTCGGTTGCTCACCAGCAGGGGGCACGTTTTCTTTAGGATTGCGTCGGAGAATCTCTCGTTCAAACCTCGTAGCCAGACTTGCTCCGAGTCCCCTCGCCGGAAATCGCTCTGCAGATAATAACTCTCTAGCGTCTGGAAATGTTTAATTACCGCGAACGCTCCTTCCTCCAGCGCCGCCGGCAGCCAACGCAGCTTGTCGCGGACTTAGTGCTGCCGCGGGTGGTAGCGGATTCTCTCCGCAGGGTTTCACCCAAACTCCGCGGAACTCCCTTTGGAAACTTTTGGACATCATCCTCAGTTTACCAGACCCTGCCTCGTTTCTAATACACTTATTTCTACTTTAGGTAAAGGAAAAGTTCAGTAACCCTAGAACATAGATCTGTTAGGTGTGGAAAATAATTCTGACAGCTCAAATTTGTACAAAAAGTAAAACCCGCCATGCCTTTTACCCAGTTTACACCAGATCCTCACGACAGAAGGCATTATCATCATTCTATTTTACCGATGTCCAGAGTTGATGCAATTCCACCGCATCTGGGTTTGCTGCATACATTTTAAAAATATGTCAGAGCTACATATATGCATGTGTGTATTCTTACCTTTTTTTCAAATGACAAATACAATAGTTACAAGACACTTAGGTACCCCTGAAGAACTTACCAAACGGGAATTGCCCGGGAAAACAGTTCACTTTCCCTTTCAGTTTTGATACTGTAACTTGTCTTTTGCTGTCACAACAATAAATACCCGCTCTAGCGTTCAGTTGGCATTTATTTTTTAAAGACCCTAGACGGCTTGTAGGTTATGAGAGGTGTTACCGGTACAAATGCATGTGGAAGCAGGGTTTCCTACCTCCTGTGTTTAAAAATTACCCTCGCCCCTCGCCCCTCGACAAAGCTGGGTTTTTGACCTGATTGACCGTAATGGTTCCAGAGGAACTATTGCGCTATTACAATCCATCATCTAAATGAATACGGAGGGACACCTAAATCTCCCAGCTATTTGAAGGCTCCTTATATACATGAGGGGGGTTCTAATGAGCAAACCCCCAATTGTCCACGAAATAGCTACAGGAAACCTTGCGTAGGAAGCAAAACTTCGCAAGTGCTAAGTAATTCCACTTAAAAGAATGAAATCATTTTTTTGTGGCTGGGGAATATGGAGTGGTAGAATTCTTAAAAAGAAAAAAAAAATGGAAAACAACCCCAGAGCAATATAGGCCATGTTGTAGTTAATTTTCTGGAAGCTGCTCAATATTCTCTCCAAAGACAGACTCCTTTCCCAGAGAGCCAGAGTAGGGAGAGGGGATGGGGATGGGCGAGCAGTCTAGCAGAGGCGGTCGCCAGCCTAGGAATGCCAGTAAAAGTGGCCGCAAGGACTTGCTGTGGGACTGGGCGCCGCGGGGTGGATGGGCTGGAGGCTGGGACAGATTCCAGGATCAGGATCGCTCCTCTGTGGGATTCCACTCGGAGAGGGGCGGAAAGAGGTGGAGCGCGGGTTCGGGACCTGGAGACTCCTTTTCTCCAGTGAGGATCCTTTCCCCCACCGCTGATGTGTACTGGCCAAGTGCGCCCGCGGTTCTGCTCAGCATGCAGTGGGCAAGAGAGCCAGGAGCCGCTGCGGAGTTCGAGTTCGCGCCGGGTAGGGTCACCGGCTGCAGCCCGCAGGCGCTAAGCCAGCAAAGGTGCAACAGCGAGCTGCGAAGTGCGCTGGACTCAGAAATGAGATGGGTGTCCCGACAGGAGTTGCACCTCCTTCACTGGTCTTCCCGGTGATCAGGATGGTTGGGTCCTAGCTATCTAGGGCATTTACCAATTTCGAAATGCGATGTCGTCTCAGGTCCCAAACGAGTCTGACTTCCCTAAAACGCGCCTTCGCTGGCCATTTCATTCCATCCAAAGCGCGGTCCAGGGTGGGTCCGCACCTTGACCTGACTCGTCCGACCGATTTGTATTTCTCTTCATGAGCCGGGAAACGGGAGTCGGTTTGCTCTCCCCTGCTTAGAACTGCAACAGGGGTCATTAGCTTCCTGGACTTTTCCTGCCCACCCTGCACAGAGGGAGCCAGGACTCTAGCTGGCCTCTGACTGAAACCAGAGGCCGGAGTTGGAGCTCACCCCCTTGAAAACTCAGAATGAGGTAGAGGACTTTCCATCTGCCAGCAAATCTTAAATTTCGTTATCCTGGCTCTCTGAGGTTGTGTGTTGTCCGGGATCTAGGGGACCTAGTAGGCACGTCATCAAACTACGCGTCTGAAACAGGAGAGCCCAGCCCTGCCAGAGCCCAGATATGCTCGCTCACCTGGTCCTGTCCTGCTTTGCCACCATCTCCAGGCAAGATGGCTGTGATTAGTCTGGAAGGCACAGTCTGGAGCCCTGGACCATGAGAAATCAACACCAACCTTGCTTCCCTTCCCAGCCTCACCCATAAAGTGCTAGGCTTTGACCTGAATCAGAATCAGCCTTCAAGATAACCTGGCAGAGGCTACATTAAACAACCAGGTTCCATGTCCCTTTCTTTAGGATCAGGAACATTCTCTCACTAAGAACTCTTTAGGGATTCTGTTGCTTAGTGATCTCTGGAAGTCCTGAAGTATGTCAAACAGGGACCCCATATTAGAAAACAAAGTCAGTTACGGAGATGGAAGCACAGCTGAGTTATAAGGAGCTCAGCGCAGGAGATGGGCCACGCACATCCCAGGAGGCTCCATCCCACTGGGGCATCTGGCCACTCTTCCTAAGTGAATTAGTCCACTAGAGGCCCTCTAGCATAGACCTTTCTTGGGAAACTTTCACTGCTAGTAAGGAGGTTCCTCAAGTTTTACATACTTGGAGAGTGTGAGGCTTGTGTGCACAAAGTCCCCGTGGCTATTCACCTTCTACAGAAGCCAATAAAATCCAAGAATGCCCTGTCCCCTTTCCTTCCATGCCTTCCTTTCCTCTTCAAACTCATTGCCCTGGAATCTCTTGGAAGGGAGTGTTCTCAGCTCCTTTCTGCTCTGAGAGGCCTCTCTTTGGCCAAGACATCACCCCATATCTGCAGCTGCTAAAATTTCAGGTGTTCAGGAAACACAGATGTTTCTCTCTTGTATTCCTGCACTAAGTAGTGGCATGGGGTGAGTGCAGTTTCCTGGAGAAAAGATTGCACCCTCTCTTCCTGGCTCCATATAAACCAAAGTTACCCTGGGGCTGGAGATAGAAGGAAAGTCTTCTACAACTATGCCTTTGGAAGGTGTGTACCTGTATGGGTGGAGGAGGGGGAGGGGCTCCGTGACCATCTCCTTAGATCAAGGATAATCCCCTCTCAAGAAAATCAGGTTGGGTTTGCAAACCAAAGGCACAGACAGTCAAAAAAAGCAGTAGCAATAGTTAGAGAGCAGGGAGGCCAGGGTCCAGCCTGGCGGGTGGGAAGGAGACACTTAGCGGCAACTCTGTGGCAAAGCAAGGCGTGCCCTGGTGTGAATCTGGACACCACTGGAAGCCAATGCCTTTTCCAGTCCTGAAACCCTGAAACCGGGCTGGCGTTTCAGAGAAGCAGTGGGGAGGGGTAAGGGCTGGGGTCACTTGGAGGTCAGCTCCTGGAGATGAGCGGTCAGGAGGGTACTACTGCACCCTTCAAAAGCCTACAGTGAACACAGAATTGTCCTCAGCCAGAACCCAGACTCTTTCCATTCCAAGCTCCATTAGAATCAGGCCCTTGAGTCAGAGGCTCTGGAGCGGACAACCGTGCAGCTCCCCAAACTTTCGCCTATCTTGAAAGGAATGGCATTTGAGTGGAGTCCCAGAGTTCCAGGTCGCAAGAACATAACTTCCTTCACCTCCTTTCTTCCACCCTCTGCCGCTGAACTTTCTACTTAACCCCGTAACCCGGGGCCTGTGGTCAGCCATAGGAACTTGGATGTTCTGGTTCGCGTGTGTCCGTGATCCTGGCTCGCCCTACCGCACCAGAACTAGCCAGCTGATTGGGTTACCGCCCTGTCCCTGAGCAGGCCTGGATGTCCAGGAGCGGCTCCACACCCGGGGCTGACTTCTCGGGAGAGATTATGATTGGAAAGGCGACTCTGCCAGACGCCGAAATGCTCTGCAGCCCAAGCTATGGAGCGGAGATCCCGGCGCACATTGCTGCTTCCCTTCCGCATCCCTCCAGCTCCCGGGCGCAAGCGAGTTCAGAAGCGCAGGGATAGGACCCAGAAACAAACGATTCTAGCCCACTCTCATCTGTTAAGGGCTGTTCCCCTCTAGCGCGCCAGGCGTGCCCGCGTGGACCGAAAAAGGCAGAAGAGGTCGTGCAGGACTGAACAGGAACGGACGCAGGTCGGGAGAGACGCGGGACTGGCGAACGCAGCTGCCAAAGTCGGCTGCCCGGGTCAGCAAAACTTTGTCTCACAGTGCGCAGGCGCAAAGAAGGATCGCGGGGAAGGCGGGGGGCGGTGCAGGGAGGGAGGCGAGGAATCCTAAAGCAAGGGGCGGGTGTAGGGAGGAGGGAGGAGGGAGGGTGGTGGATTAAAATAAGTAGGCGGCTCGGTGCTAAAGGATGAGTGAGTCGAAGCTCGGCCTCTACCCCGCACGTTCACAGGCGTTCCCGGTTCAGACTCAGCGAGGGAGCCGCGAGCAAGGCTCACCGACCCCGGGCGGGCTGGACTCCCGGGCTGTTGGGTGCTCCCGTGTGTCTGACTCTCGGAATCCCCGCAACTGGAGAGAGATCTGGACTCTAGCGCTCCAGGGGTACCCGAGGACCCCAGCGCTTCTGGTTTCCCCGGTCTCTTGCAGCGAGAGCCGCGGAGACGCGCTCAACCCCGGGACCGCGGAGTAACAAGGTAAATGCGGTCTTGGGCACCAGGGTTCAGCAAGGAGTTTGCGGGCAGGACTCCAGGGTCCCCTGTCACAGCGCTTGGGACTTCTCTCTCTCAATGCCCCTGGAAGGAAGTTCATCTCGCTAAACGAAGCCTGCAGGGCCGTGGTGAAAGTGGGAGCAGCTGCAGCCCAGGGTGGTTGGGGTGCTGGCTCAGGGACTTCTCAGGCGGGGTCTTAGGCATCTGACCTCTGGGCAACGAGGGGGCGGGCCTCCGCTACAGCAATGAGTCCCGCCTGGCTCGCCGGAACCCGGGGCGTGATGCCCACGGACTTCGGAAGTCAGTCTGTAGACTCCTTTAAGAAACTGGAGTAACTTCGACGGGTGCAAACTTTCCCCAGGCGCGCCCCTAGAACAGGCAAACCTGCCTACGCTGAAGAAGAAGGAAGGGAGAGAAAGTGGATGATCCCAGCCGCACCCGCCTGCGCCTGGGACAGGTGCATGCCTCCGGCCGGTAGTACCAAAATGACAGTTTATCTTTTGCCGAGTTGTGCTTAGGAGTGAGGACGGCTAGACCCGGGAGCGCAGGGCCTCCTGTGTAACCCACGCCTCGCACTCGCACGGTGACTTTGAGATATTCTCTCTAGGATGATTGCTCTTGGTCGTCAAGGCCTGGAGCACACCCCTCAACTGTCCGGGCACCGGGAGGCCGGGAGGCGTGTAGAAAGCGCGAGCACTGGTTCCCAGTTGGAGACCTGCACGCCGCAGTAGCGGAAACTGTCGGGTCGCGGTGTCTTCGGGCTGCGGATTGGAAGGGAAGGATTCTTTTGCTCCCTTGACTGTCCCCTAACCCAGCCTTAAGGAGAAAAGTTGGGGGCCGGCGGAGAAAGAGGCGAGGGGCTGCCCGCTAATTTCTCACCTGAAACGTCCCTGGTAAGAATGAAAAACCACATCCATTCTTTTTTTTTTTTTTTTTTTTTTTGTGTAAATTTAAAATTTTTTTTTTTTTTTTTTTTTTTCGGTAACTTCAGTAGCAAGGCAGGCTCCCGGAGTGTAAAGTAGCCGCGAGGGTTTCTTTGTTGCCATAATTCGGTAAAATTCACCCAGACTAAGCAGCGCGTTGGCTCTTGGGAACAGAAACCACGTGCAAGATTAGTCTCTGGGGTTCACAGCCGCCTCGGGAAGCGAAGGGCTGGCGGGAACGTGTAACGTTCGGTGGGTAGTGCTACCCCAGGCTCCTGCAGGTAACTGCGGTTTCGTTAATGTTGGGGAGAAGATCGTTGAAGACGCAGCGGGCATTAAAGTGCGGTGGGGTGGCTGCTTTGCCGGTGGGATTGTTTGATCTAGTTCGTTGGGAGGATGCAACAGAAATATCCGGAGCTGGTCAAATTCTCTCGACGGGGGTCCAGGCGCCTGTCACCACTGGTGTTGGGAATTCGTTGACAAGAATGATTTTCTTGGGCTACTGCTGGGCTCCGCCAGGAGCAAGCTCGTGTAGTTCGCTCCGTCTTCATTAATGCAAGCAGTTAAATCGCTCATGCTCAATTAGCCCCGAATAAACCACTTTAATAGACTCTGCACACTTCATTAATGCCCGGCATAGGACTGGCGGCAGACCCGGGATTGGCGCTCCACCGCCACTGCACGAGGGACGCCAGTGCCAGCGCAGCGCCCGGACCTGGGCTCTAAAGCGCGAATTGCATTTACTGCGCGTGGTCCGGGCGCTTACCAGCACTTTCCAGGTTTGGAGGCCTAAGCTCCTTGTGGAGTCGATGTCTGGCTTGGAGAGAGGTGTTCCCTCTCGCGTTTAAAAATCGAAAGCGTTCGCACTGAGGTTCCGGGATCGGGGCAACCAGAGCTGGAGCGTCCCGGCATTCGCTCATCCTCTCCAGCTGGAGAGGCGAATATGAGACCGTTTTTCTCTCAGCCGACCGCCTGAAACCGGATCGTGCATTGGCCCATTCTCGGTTCTAGTGTAAAGAGCCATGTTTCGAACGAATTTCGTCCTCAGGAAAGTCGTTGGTGAGAACCTAGGGAGCCCTGGGCTCGGAATGCGGCAGAAAAGAACTGGCTGGGCCGTTGAGGAAGAGATTTAGAGTGTTGGGAGAAAGGAGATAGGGCAGATGGCCCGGAAAGGTTGGCTCCCGGGAGCCAAGAAGGCTAAAAACACCATCACTCCCCTCACTCACTAAGGGCCGCTCTGGTTCTTTCGGATTCCGGGGGCAGTCGAGGTGGTGTGTTCTCCCACCCGGGTTGAGTTCCTGCCTTAGCTGCTCCTTGGTCTTCGAGAGGCCTAGATCGAGAGGAGCAAACAGAGTAAGCGGAGGCTTCCACGTAGTCAGGCTGGCAGGCTCTCTGCAGGCTGGGGGAGAGGGAGATAAGGATCTGATTTCCAGCCTGGGGAGGGGAAGAAAAGGTGACAGCAAATCAAAGAGAGCCCATCTCACCTAAGTCTGGGCAGAGCTTTGAAGTTGGTGAGTCTTCTCCTCAATCCCCAACCCAAAAGGTTCCAACTTCCCCTCTGGCCCAATTCGTATTTTGCATCAACTTGTTTAAGCACTCAAGGATGGTCTCAGGTTATCCCCAAAGGACTGGTGCTTGGGGCAGAAGGAAGACTGCTGGGGAGGACATGGCTTTGCTGGCTGGGCCACCGGTTCCGCTCCAGAATCCAGACCACAGCAGATACATGCCTCCCTTAACCCGAAGACCCAATTAATTGCTGCAGCCACACTTTATTATGGGATTCCTAATTTCACCCACGCAGGCCAACCCTTGTCACTTCGTGGTGTCTGGAACTCACCACCCCCAGCCATGGCCTCTTTTGTAGGGCCCTTCACGTAGTGAGCCACCTTCCTGCCAGCTTCCAGGGAAAAGGATTGTCTGAATCTAGATTGTTCTCACTCATCATGGGATCAGGTGCTACACATCTCTGGACAGGGCTGGGCTTTTAGTGCCTCGTTGCAACGAAATGCAGTTGAGTCTGTGCACTGGCCTTGTCCTGGGCTGACGGTCATTTGGGTCTGCTGAGGGGGAGTCGGAGATGAGTTGCCGAGGAAAGCAGGGAAAGA